AAAGATTCCCATCAGCGAAAGTTTCAATTGGACAGAAGCTTGGAATCATATGATTTGAGTCATGTGATGTATGGAAATCTTGGTACTTTGAAAAAATTTAGACTAACTCCTTGTTCTCACAAGCATGAGAGTCAAGTGAAGGACTAAAGGATCTAGTACACAATGTTGTGCACTTGTCAGATCCACCACAAAGAACGATAAGACTATTCGTCATGATTTGCAAAAAGTTTAGTAAATGTGGTTATGCTTAAAAGTTTAAGTGTCATTCTGAGTCATTGAAAAGTTTTAATGAATAGCAGAACGAATAAGAAGAATCAATAAGGAAGAAAGATAAAAGTTTCTCCAATCTAAGAAGAAGTGAGAGTACTTTTGTATCGTGTTTTATGATCGTCTTAGTGATTATAGAACCATATTACAATCCATCATCTAAGGACACCTTAGTACACTAGTATGGCTAAGAAGAGGAATCGGGAATTGTTGAAATGGTTAAGTCAATAAGATGAATCATACTTCGTTCCAAAATCGAGTCTTAGAGTCATACTCCAAGATTGCGACTTGAGTGACATGATCTTTAGTAGGAGTGTTCTTACACTTGCACATTTTGGTAAGTTCTGATGTCTTGGATAAGACAAATACCAACCAATACCAATTGTATGTAGGTTTTGTCTTGATAAGGACACACACTAACTCTTGAGTATTTGTTTGTCAAGAAAACCAACGCGCCTTACCTTTCAGGTTCCGATTTGAAAGCTTTAGGTCCAACAGAGGTAAAATCCTTTGACAATGGTTCTTGATAAGAGAATCTTATATGTCAAGAGGTCAGTGGGAGTCTTAAGGATCTTGAATAGCTTCAAGAACTAATCAAGAGTAAACCTATGGTATATCACTAGCACACGACTTGAGGTTTGCAACCTATCGTGTTGACATAATTCTTATTCCCGTGCCATTCCAGACAAGTTAACTATGCATGTGGGTTCTACGAGTTCTCATTCGAATGCATAAGGCAAAGCACCTTGATCATTGAAAGTTCATTGATCAATGAGGGTGAGCTGCTCAAAGACCTGGAAGAAATGGTGGGACCCTTGATGGCAAGAAATAAAGAATGAACAAGTTTTGTCCATAAGAGTATGGATTTGTCATAAACATTATCTTATGATTATGGTTATGATAAATTCACATGGATAAGAGCACATACACCATAAAATCTAAGTGTCATAAGGTTTCTCTCCTTCATGAAAATGATTATGAGGAAACGCTTTCACTAAGAAGATTTTAAGGAGTCGGCTGTTGTGTAAATTGTGTTCTCAAATTCGATTATGATTACGACATCCCTCTTCATGGTTCGAATTGTGAGGTTTGGCAATTAGTCTAAGCATTTAGGACTTATTGCTATACGTTCTGAATTAGTTTAGACATACATATGAGCTATCTAAGTAAAGGTGTATGAGTTTGAGAAGCTTACATAAAGACTTATCAAAGCATATCGTATTAGAAATATGAACTTTGGAAGTCAATAAGTATTGATTTCTAGAAGTCCAACTGCTTTCTGAATACGTGTCGAAGCTAGTGGGAGCATAAATGTTATGCTGGTATGGATATAATTATCATGTTAGTGGGAGCATGATTATTATTTTAAATGTTGCAAGCTAGCAATATTAATTATAGAACACAAAAGTTTCACTTTGCAAAGTTGCAGGGGTTGAAAAGTTGTTTTGCTATAATTAAGGGAGAGAATATTATACTTCATTTCAAAATCTAAAAGATTGGATCGAGAAATTTTAATCAAATTTAGTCAAATGACATATATAGATGTTATGTTGAAAAGGTTCAACTTAAAAGAATTCTATATATGGCAATATTATAGCAAGAAACTGGTAAAGTATCACGTTTTTCATGAATCATGTCTCATATGCTTCTGGTATAGGATCGATTGCATATGCTGTAATATTCATCCGTTCTGATTTTCCAAATGCCTAGGGCATTAAGAGGGAAAAAGGACTAGAACCGGAAATGACTAAAATAATTAAACAACTATCAAGGACAATCTAAGGTTCGCCAAGGGTTGGTCCTTGTGGCAGTTGGAAGTATAGTAATGGATGGACCATATTGACCTTATTATGAATAGATAGGATTCTATTTAGAATGTGTTGTCATATGGAAAATATGGAAATGTTTCCATAAATGGGAGTTGGATATCAAGAATCTATGTCTAGATTAGAAACTTTTATGCAAGAAGGATGTTCAAAGGAATGTACTTTGAATGTGAGACTTCATATCTATGGAATTACCTTGTAACAATCTCCAATAGAGCACTTTGTAATATCATTGGCAAAGTCTTTGTGATTTTCTGCTATGACATTACAAAAAGGGTCATTGCATAAAATGTTAGAATCTAACATATTCTAATAGTTGAAATAATTTGGTATTCTTACACTTATGAAAAGAATTAGGAGTTGTGAAATGAGTATCGTTGGAAATATGTTCAATTGATCTATTTCACAAAGTATGGACCATAGGTAAACATAGTGTGTATGCTTGAAGCATGGGACAACTGTTGTTATAATTCAAGTAATTAGTTGATTACTCGAAATATTATACAATGAATAATGTATAATCAATATGGTGACTAAATAAAAGGTCTTTTATTTATACTCAAAAGGTTGAGATCACATTGGATTCGATTATTCTTGTGTTTCACTTTGCATGTTTTGACTTCCCGAATAATAAGATTATTCAAACCATCCACAGTCGATAAATACTCTGGAAGTAGGTATTGAAGCTAGACTATCATGAATCTGACTGTAGATTGTCTAAAGCGTTTAGACATAGAAAAAGTCTGATGCAGTGTTCATGAGTACTTCTGAAATAAGATTTGAGTATTGGATTAAACCCACGCTCACTTGAATCACTTAATGGATTTTATCACGAGTGATTAGTGAGACGATAATATATTATATTCTTGAAACAGAGACGTGTGAGTTGTAGTTTGCAAGTCAGTTGCACATTGATAATATGTAAACGCACCAGTAACTTGGTGTTATAAAACATATTGTTGTGTGTGATTTGATAAGTAGGTACAAGCGAGCATTTGAGTCAAAGTTTATCTGTTCCTTTTACCCAATGTGTGATAAAAGTGATATTTGTGGGTCCCTCGATGATTTAGTGATGACACCCTAAGCGCTTGGCCAAGCCTGGACTAAGTTGATGTGTTCAATTGTAGTCTGTTGTCGGTCGTCATAAATCGGAAATCGGGAAACAACATATGAACAGAGAGTATGATTAAAATCCATGTCTTAGTTTATACGATATCTACAGTAGAGGGATATATGATCCCTTATCTAAAGGACGTGTCAGAGTTCGACAACAGCTTTTTAAAGCTACGATTGCTGATCAGGTTCTGAAGTCGTACTTGCAAAATAGTTTTAGACTTATCCAAGTGGGAGACTGTTGGATTAGGTGTCTAAGCCCATAAATATTTTGGTATGTACTTGACCCGATTATGAGCATGGTCCTTTTGGGTTTCCTTCACTCATGCAAATTGATACGAGGACAAGAGGATAGAGAGTAGGATTTATTATATGAATAATAAATTGGTACTCAAAATGGTTTTATTAATATATTATGAGATTAATATATTATTTGGAAATCATATTATTAATTAGTAATTAATCAGAAATTAATTTGATATTAATTTTGGGATTAAAGGGACTGATTAATAATTGAGGGACTAGTTATGCAAATCATTGACAGTTGCATAAATGGGCTGATGGACTCCATAGCGTGGAGTGGATGAAATCTATGGGAAAGCCCAATAAGATTTCGTCCAAAGAGCTCTAAGGAAGGAGTCCATGGGCTGCTTAAGGCTTAAGCAGTCATATTAGGATTTCCACCTAAAACCCTAGCAGCCACAAGTATAAATAGACCCCATGACTAAGGGATTTTCGGCTAATGCTTCTAAGAGACCCTAAGGGCTGAAAATCTTCCCTCTCCTAAAGTCATCCTATTGCTTGAGTGTTTATGACTCCATTAGAGGTGCAACACTTGAGGAACTAAGCTTTTAGAAGTCCAGATCAAGAAGGATTGTGATTGTTATTGCTATATAACAATCAAGGTAAGATTCCAAACCCTAATTACATATGACTTTCGAAATTAGTATGCTAGTTTTTTAGGGTTTATTGCTTTGGAATTCAATGTTGTATTTTTACTTAGAAAAACCTAGATCAAAGCAATTAGGGTTGCATGTACACCATAGGATTGATGTTATGCTCACAACCCATCTGGTTTTGTTTTGATCTTCTCCTTTTCTGTTATGGATTCTCTAATCAGTGCTCTATCGATCCCCGATCAATTTGCTTCTCTTCAGTAGAAATATGGGTTCCAACCGAAGGACGACGTGACGTTTCCCAAAGGACAGGCAAGTTTCGTTAATCGCCCATATAAGGCTTACATCAACCAACTGGTGCCTAATGGGGTGAATAAGGTAGTCGCATTTGAGATGTTATGATGTGCTAACGGGATGGCCCTTGATTTGTGGGGTTTTCACCATTTATTTCACTTTGCATCTGACACCCATGGTGAGAGTTATACATTTGTTGTTCGTAAGCATAGCCATATCTTGGTGGTAGAGCTGTAGAATTCTCCAAAGAATTGGGCGAACCGTTACTATTGGGTCAATGCAGATCATGTGGGTTTTATGGAACGTATTGCGACTTCGATCTTAGATCATTATTTTAGCCTTAAGTATGATAAAGAGCATATGGCTAGGGTTCTTTGTTGTTTTCAAGTTGTGGCTGATGATTTTTTGGAGTGTGTGCTTGTCGGGGCTGGCATGGGTACATTGTGGAGGCTTTGTGGGAAGTTTTCGGAGTTCTACGTCATGGCGAAATGTATTTAGTTTTTGTTGTTTCTTTCGCCTTCTTCCTCTCTCCTCATTCCCTATTTTTCAAATACATTGATTTTTCTGTATTTGCTTTGTATGTGTTGAGAAGAGGGTGGATTTTATGGATGTGTTAGCGAAGAAGTGGGTACGAATTCTCCAGTATCGTGAGGTGGATCTTGAGGATAGGGTTTTTCCTTCATTCTCGTTTTGTAATGACGCCTTCATTACCCGAGACACGACTATTCAAGATGTTGAGCAGCGTGGCGCAGTTATCCAGCCTTCCCGGTCTTCTTTTATTGATCATGTCGGTTTGGAAGTTGGTGTGGAATCTTCGAGGGACAAGGGTGTTGAAGATAAGTTTGTGGAAGACACTAAAGAAGGAGTTCTTCCTCGGTTGAAGCAGGAGAACGAAGGTTTTGGTATTCAATTGGAGAGTATTGAGAGGAAATCAACTTAAAAGGATCGAGTTGTTAATGAGAAGTCATGCATGTTGGAGATCTTGGAATGTGATTTAGAGTGGGTTATGAGAGAGGGTTTATTCGAGATTGTTGACCATGTTTTGGATAGCCAAGAATTTGGTTATGGTGTGCATAAATTTCGTGATGAATTTTTGGTTGCATGGTAAGTTTTAAGGATGCATGAAGCTAAAGAGATGGTTGGAGGTGGAGGGAGCTTGGAGGATATGGTGGAAGATGATGTGGATCTTGAAGTGGTGGTTGATGAGGATTTCGATGCGTTTGTGTCATTGGGTTATGTCTCCGTGCTTGAGCAGGGGAAACTGGATGTGGTAAGGTTGAAGTGGTTGATGTAGTCGCATAGTGGTGCTGGACCCTCTTAAGGGTGTTATCTTGTTTGGATTGTTTTGTTTAGTAATATGATTATGCTTTTAGGTTTGTAGGTCGGTTTCGCCATGTGAACAACTTTCTTTCCTACACTTTTTTAAATACATTTGGGTGTGTTGCTTTGTTTTGGTGTTATCATGTGCTTTGACTTTGTTGATTATTTCTTCGTACGTTGACATATCTTTCCTTATTTTCTGGATGGATTGGAACCAGGAAAATTTTGAAGTTTGTTGTTTCCTGGCGTACATGATGGATTTAGGCCAGTCATAACCGTAGGCCTTAGGATTGTTTGTTGTTTCTTATCTGATATCTCAGGGCGTTAGTAATCAAATCCTAAGTAGTTCCAAGTGAAGCGTTTTGGAATCTTTTGTTTGTTTTGTGTGATAGTTATGTCGAGGCATTAGCCATCAAGACTCTAGGCAGGTCAAAGCTAGGGGCTTTGGAATTGTGTTCCTGTTTCACGTAATCGTTGGGTTGAGCCATTAGCCATCAAGACTCTAGGCAGGTCAAAGTCAGGGGCTTTGGAACCGTTTTCTTGTCTCACATAATAGTTGTGACAAGGAATTAGCCATCAAGACTCTATGGCAGGTCAAAGCCAGGGGTTGTGGAACTATTTTCCATTTTTAAAAACATGTGTTTTTATAATTGCATGCCTTATAATTTAAAAATGAAGAGAACGTTTGCATTGGATGCACATCAGAAGGAGAGGGTGATCAACCTATCCTTGGTTACATGCTTTTAAAATGGTAAACATCAAGAACAAAAAAGAGAAAATACGTAATGTTTCTTGATGGTGTGACGATTCTGTATGGGTTGATGTTTTTCAATAGTGGAAACATCTCATGTTCTGGATGTTCCAAGTGCTTGTAGGGTCCTCGTTTTTCCTGATCACTAGGTCATCTAACTTGAATGTTCATTCTTTTATCTATTTGTTGTAGTATTTCTTGACATTTTCTTTTGTACACTGTTTGGCGGAGTGTTGCCATTTCGCGTTTCTCTTCTATCAAGTCGAGGTTTATGCGGAGATATTCACCATTTTATGAGTTGTTGAAGGATGCTACATGGGTTCTGTCCAGTATTAACTCCTAGGGTAGGATAGCTTCCATGCCGTATGCTAGGCTGAAAGGAGTTTCTTACGTTCCAGTGCAGGGTGTGGTCCGGTATGACTACAACACAGTAGGTATTTTCTTCTACTCAATTGCTTTTCTTTTTTCCCAAGCGTTTTTTTTATTCTGGCCACTAAGGTCCTGTTGGATACTTCTATCTGGTCGTTAGCTTGCGGATTGGCTACTGAGGCGAATCATTTTTTTATGTTTCATTCCTCACACCATTATCTGAAAGTATTTTCAGTAAACTGTAGACCATTGTAGATGACTAATTTTCTTGGGGCTAAATCATGTGAGGTTGTTTTTCCACATGAACTTGATAATGTTTCGACCGTTGATCATTGCAAGGGGCTCCACTTCTTCCCATTTTGTGATGTAGTCCACAAACACAATTAAAAATTTGACTTTCCCCGATGCCTTTGGGAAAGGTCCTACGATTTATATTCCCCATTTATGGAATGGCCATGGACTAGAAATGTTGGTCATAGGGGATGTCTGTAGGTTTTGTACTAGTGCAGATGTTCAGTATTCTTTACACCACCTTGTGGTTTAGATGGCATCTTTGTAGACGTCGGGCCAGTAGATTCCAAGGCGCTTTTTTTCAGCGAGTTCCCTTGCCCCTTTGCAGGAGCCTGCTTCCCTGGTATCTGCTTCCACGAATTTTGATGCTCTTTTTTCTTTTGTTATGCATTTCAGCCACGATGTGAGTTAACTCTTATTATATAGTGTTCCATTTTGTCTTGTGTATTGCGGTGATTTGATCTTAATCCTCCTTACCTCTATCCTCTCGTCCAAAAGTATTCCTTGGAGCAGGTAATTAAAGTATGACATCATCCAGCTTGGTTGGTCCAACTCCATGGTGGCGACTTCTTTATCTCCAATGCTTCATGCAGAGAGGATTTCAACCAACACCTTCTTTGTTAGGTGATTGAATGATGTTAATGTCAGTTTTCTTTGTGTATTCACTCATTTGTTTTCTGATCTTAAATTTTTTATGAGGGTGAATCGTTGAAAAGTTCCAGCTAGTTTTTTCACTGCCTCAACGTATTTCTGCATTCTTCTGACTTGAACTTTGTATGAACCATTTATTTTTGTTTGTTGCTAGCAAAGATTCACTTAGTGCTTCTATGGTTTCCCCCCCCCCCCCCCCATTTCCTTTGCCACTCACATTCCTTTCCATAAATCCTTATATTGTGCCTTTGATGTTAAATGTTTGGAAATCAAAACGAAAAGTGTATGTCACTTCCTCTCTAGTGGGACTTCTTAGTAAAAAAACCTATTCCTGATCCTTACTTGATGGAGGCGCCATCGGTGTGTACTGTCCAGCATTCTTCGGGCTCATTTGGTGGTGGATAGAAAAGCGAGACTTATGAGCCTCCTCCAACACAATCTGTCTGACCCCACCAGAAACATGAACCCATACCCGACCACAACGGGTCAACAAACCATGACTGTCCGACACAAATCTAGTGATCTCATCCCTGATCCTCTCAATCTTCCAACTCTCCTCTCGGACACCCTCAGCCTAAGCCTCCCTAATCAAACCCACAAGTGGAGAATCCACAAATATCCTCATACATGTCATCAGAACAGAAGATCCAGCCGACTTGCGGCTCAGGGCATCCACCACCACATTCGCTTTACCCGGATGGTAAAAGATCTCACAGTTATAATCCTTGATTATGTCCATCCACCTGCGCTGCCTCATGTTCAGGTTCGGCCGATCCATAATATGACTCAAACTCTTGTGATCCGTGTAGATGGTGCAACGGACCCCATAAATTAAGGTAATGCCTCCAAATCTTGAGAGCGAAAACCACTGCTCCCAACTCAAGATCATGCGTGGGATCTCTCGTCTCATGCGGGTTCAGCTGCCATGAAGCATAAGCTATCACTCGTCCTCTCTGCATGAGGACTGCTCCCAAGCCAGTGATGGATGCATCACAAAAAACAACAAAATCCCTCAATCCCCTCTAGGAGGGTCAATACTGGAGCTTCGCAAAGTCTCTGCCGAAGGGTCTCAAATGTTGACTGCTGCTCAAGGCCCCACCGGAAATCCACCCCATTCCTCGTTAGACGAGTGAGGGGTACTGCAATCTTGGAGAAATTATGAATAAATCTTTGGTAGTACCCTGCCAGAACAAGAAAACTCCTAATATCCGAGGGAGATTTCAGAACCTCCCACTGCATGACCGCCTCAATTTTATCCGGATCGACCAAAATCTGATCCTGGTTAACGAGGTGTCCAAGGAACTGAACCTCTCGCAACCAAAACTCGCACTTCGAGAACGTAGCATAAAGTCGTTCTCGCCTCAAAACCCCCAGAAGCTCGCGAAGATGCTGCTCTCTGGTCTTGGAATACACCAAGATATCATCAATGAATACAATAACTGAGCGATCGAGCATCGTCATGCATACCCGATTCATCAAATCCATAAATATTACCGGCACATTGGTGAGCCCAAACCGCATCACCACGAACTCGTAATGCCCATAACGAGTTCGGAACGCGGTCTTCTCTACGTCCTCCTCCCTCACCTTGACCTGATGGTACCAAGAGCTCAGGTCTATCTTGGAGAACCAAGATGTTCCCTGCAACTGATTAAATAGATCATCAATTCAGCTCCCTATAATCGATGCACATCCGGTGCGAACCACCCTTCTTCTTGATAAAAAGAAATCGGTTCTTCCCACGGATAACAGCTCGGACGGATGAATTGCTTGCCTAGCAGCTCCTGCAGCTGAGATGACAGCGCCTGCATCTCAGGCGGTGCCAATCGGTACGACGCCTTAGCAATATGGGATCAACAACTGACACCTGATCCCCAACCCGTCTATCCACCACATAAGCTAAATAACATGCACACCCCGACTAAACATCCTACCTAGCCCTGGCTGCCGAACAAAATCCTGAACCCAACCTGGTTCCCTCTCTATAAATAACCAGTTCTCCCCCACTTGGGGTTCTAACTACCACCCGCTGGCCCTCGCAGTCGATCATGGCACCGAAACGGCTCAGCCAGTCCATACCCATGATCACACAGACATCCCCCATAGGAATCAGAATCAAACCGATCGGAAAGGACACCCCAAAGATCTCTAGAACGCAACCCTGATAAATAGAAGAAGTAGAAACCCCATGTTCGTTGGCGATAGAAACTCGCAAAGGACACTCCAACTTCCCCATGGGCAAAACAAAATCCCTACTGAAGGACCGAGAAACAAAAGACCGACTCGCACCCGAGTCAAACAACACTAAAGCAGGAAAGGCGTTCACTAGGAACGTACCTAACAGAGGTACAAACATATGAGCATAAAACAAACATAGTCAATAAGATAAGGCATAGAAACATACCAGTCACAACATCTGGTGCAGTCATGGCCTCCTCGACAGTGAGCTGGAAAGCGCAACCTCGAGTCCTCGGGTGCTCCACCCTACCCTGAATCCCGTCAGTGATCATCAAAGTAGCTGGCGCGGGAGGCTGCGCTGGCTTGGCGGCGACCAACAGATAGTTGACCTTCACATGGCCAACCTTCTCACAATGATAGCAAATCCTCATACTCGGAACTGGGGCGGACTAGCGGCAGTCCCTCTTATAATGCCCTTCCTTGCCACATTTGTGGCACCCACTATTAGATCAACATGCTCCAACATGAACCTTTCCGCACTTCCCACAAATGCGGCCACGCTGACCTCTAGACCTAGAATCTGAGGCCTTGAACTGCTTCGGCGCCGACTGCGACTGTGTCGGGGCCTGCCTCTGCTCTCTCAGCTGAAACTCTATCTCAAGCTCACGCTGTCCGGCGGCCTCCTGTAACTCCAACAAGGTATCACACCGCTTAGTAGAAAAAAATTGTCTAAT